GCCGGGCTCAAGGCGATGGCGGCCATCGCGCGCGACTTCGGGGTGTTTCACGAGCGGCCATACGCGGGCGAGCCTGCGGGTCAGGCGGCCAGCAGCGGCGGCGGCGGCGCGGCCGGTGGGTCGGAGTCCGCGTCGGAGGTACTCTCCGGGGCCGTCGGCAGGGAGCGGGCGGGCGCGGCGGCGGGCGGGAGGCGCGGGGCTGCACGGGCCGCCGAGGTGGTGGATGTTGAAGTGGATCTTGAAATGGCAGATGCAGCCGTCGAAGATGAGGAGGAGGAGGAGGAGGAGGAGGTCGAGGCGGCGGCTGAGCAGGCGGCAACGCTGCGCGAGGGGGCTGCGGCTGGCGGGGAGGACACCGAGGAGAGTGAGGAGGAGGAGGAGGACGGCTCTGACAGCAGCGGCAGCAGGGAAAGCGTCAGCGGCGACGGCGGCGCCAGCGGCGACGGGGAGGACAGCAGCGCGCCCGCCGGTGGCGGGCGGGGACGGGGCCAGGTTGCCGCGCGGCGTGTCGGCGGCGACGCAGCGGCCGCCCAGGGCGTCAGGAAGGCGATTGGGGAGGAAGACGCGGAGCAGGAGAGCGCTGATGATGGCGGCGGCGGCACGGCCAGCGGCGCTGACAGTCAGGAGGGGGACGAGGAGGAGGCCGGCAGCGGCGGCGACAGCAGCGGCGGCGATGACAGCGGCGGCGATGACGGCAGCGGCGATGATGGCGGCCGCGCGGCGAGTCCCGAGGGCAGCTGGGGCACCGGCAACACGGAAGACAGCGCGTGAGCGCGCCCCTTGGCGCGGAGCACGGCAGCAGCTGCAGCTGCACAGGCTGCGGCGCCACATTGCGGCTGCGTGGCTGTTGTTGCTTGTATGTTGGGAACAGTTCTGTGCGCTACCAGTCACCCTCAGTCACTCATTGCCCCCAGTGACTTGTTTGCGGGCTTTACCTGGGGCGTGGTGCCACATCTGGTTTTGTATTTGATTCACTGCCTGCGACCTCAATGGGTATGGCTACGCTTAAAAGGCACTTGCGCATGACAGTCGGTGGTTGTAACTTACAGTCAGCACATGGCCCGAAGGCATTTGCAAAAGACAGCATGCAGACGGTGATTTGAATGGCATGAATGGAGGCGGCGCGAAATGCAGCGGCGCTTCCTGCCACAAAAAGAGGCGTCCCAGGGCGGCCTGGGCAGCCCCGGGGTGGGCAGTACAGTAGTAGTACAACGCGCGCGAGGACAACGCCCCTGGTGGGTGGCAAAAGCAGGACGCGTCGCGCTCCTCGCAAGTCGGGCGGCGGCGCGTCTGTTGGTACACGGGGCGGCCGTGGTACAGTCGCTCTAGTGCCAAGTCCGAAAACGAGCTTGGCCAAGCTGATGCGTGAGAAAAAGCATGAGTGGGAACCAAGAAGACACTGACGCAGCCACTCAATCGCCCTCGCGCTCGGCCTTGAGTAGATGCGGCAGGCGGCCGTTGGCCGCCGCCGGCGGGAGGACGTGCCATACAAAGCTGCGCCCCCCCTCGCTCGGGTTGGGGAGAGGGGGTTTGATCTGCATGCGGCGGACGTCTGGGCGGGCGTGCGTCCGCCTCACGTCGCGGCCCTCATGGCGCAGCCGAGGATCATCGCCTGCAGCGCCATCGCCGCGCGCAGCAGCTGCCGCAGCACGAAGTACCCCACCCAGCAGTTGTGTACCAGCGCACAGCTCTGTGGGCCGGGGCGGTGGGGTAGAGAGTGGTGTTGGGGGCAGAGCGGTTTGGGGCGCGGCCGTCCCAGCTGGCGAGCGCGGCTGGCCACACGAGCGCAGCGTGATCGTGGAATGGCTCGAGCGAATCAGTGGGTGCGGGCGACGCCAAGAGAGGAACGTAAGTGGCAGGAAGGAGGGAGCGTCGTCGGCCGCGGCGTCACCTGCCATCCAATGTTTTGCTGCACGCGCTTCTCGTACTTCCCTGCGGGTTGTGGAAGGGCGCTGTGAGGGTTCGGGTGCCAAGGGGTGGACAAGAGTAGCAAATGCAGCGAAGCGGCGGCGGCTGTGGCGGCTGGGGGCAGGGCGATTTGCTGTGCTGCCAGAAGCAGGGTGCCAAATGGCGCAGGGGAGTGAACCCCGCTCTGCAGGGGCGGTCCTGCAGGCTCACACGAGTAGTACTCGACCCATTGCTTGTAGCGCCTTGTCCCTGTGGTTTCAAGCAGAGCGCAATCAAGCATAGTGGGAGTCATCACATGTGGGTGCACGCCCAATGGCATCAAGGTCTCGGTTGTAGTCAGCGTGCGCAACGCGCCCGCTCGCCCTGCGCAGCTCGACCCTGCCCCACCGCACCTCTTCTGTGAGGGCACAAGCTGCGCGCCATAGAACCCGCTACCACGTGGCTCATGTTGCTATGGTGCAGGAAGGCACCGGGCACGCCTCCCCACCCGACCAGGAACATGATGACGATCTATAAGTGGCGAGAAGCTGCGCTACGGAGCGTGGTACATATATCTATCCCAATCTTCAAACAGCTTGTCGGCACACGGCCTCCACCATTGTCTCGTTTCGCTGGCATTCCGTTGTGCACGGGCAGCCTGATGAAAGCATCAGCCGGAGCAACAATTGTTCGGCCCCAACAATCTTGGTAAGCGATAGCGCATGCGTATTTTTCCGAATTCTTTGACGTACACGACGCCAGGTTCCCCGCAAACCCGTTCCGTTTTTGAGCTGGGCATTGCTCTGACCATCGACAGGTGGTTTTATCACGATGGGTTTGCTCAGTCTCTCTGCACGAGACACTAAATCAAACTTAAAACCTGAAGCAGCATGTGCGCTGCAAGCAACTGCACGATTGCCTTCGGCGCCACGGGCGCAGGGCGCGTCGCCGCGAGCACACAAGCGGCGGCCCGCCTGGGTCAGCGCCGAATGGAAGCACCTCGTGCCGGAACAGCAGGCTGTATCAAGCGGGCACAGCATCGTAGAGCGCGAGGAGGCGTTCTTGCGGAAAGCGCGGGAGCGGCAGATCGATGCAGGTGCGTGAGCACATGCATATTTCTGCCCATGTTGCGCCTGCATCCGCAGTGGTCCTGTCTACACCTCAGCCAAGTTGATCCCGAGATCAAACAACTCGCAATCAGCTGCTTGCCAGCGCGGCTGCTGACACACACACACACACACACACACACACACACACACGTGCACATGTGCCCGTCACGCACCTGGCGGGCAGGCAGCGCGGCTGTCAACGCCCTGGCCGAAAGCATCCTCGAGCGCTGTCAGCGCATACAAGCGGCCTCCGCGCCGCGTGCAAGGGGCCGGCCCTGCAGTGCGCATAGCGTAGTGCGGGCGGCTGGCGGCCCGGCTGCAGGCATCTCCAACTGCTGCGGGCAGAACGGGGCGACGTATGTCACCATGCGCTCGGGGCTGCTTTTTCAGACACCACGGGATGCATACGGGGGCAGCAATGACAGTCAGGACGGGCAGCAGCAGCAGCAGCAGCAGCAGCAGCAGCAGCAGGCATCCTGGCGTCGCACACCAGGAGGCGCGTCCGTCCTGCCGCACACAGCCGCAGCATACGACCACCGCACCGCAAGCAGCCCGCACGCGCCCTCGCCGGCGACGGCGGCGTGGGCTGGGGCGGTGGACCTCAACCCTGGCTTCGGCTTTGCGCCCGGCAGCCCCCAGCGAGTTGCTGCGGCGGCGCCGGGGTTGGCCGCGGTCCTGGCCAGACTGGAGCAGCTGAGGGGCGACGTGGGGCGGCTGGAGCTGGAGCGGATGACTCACAGGGAAGTGCTACAGGTGGGATGGGGGCGGCTGAGGGGCGGTGGCGTTGGGGAAGTGGGTACGCACAAGCTGCCCCCTCCGCGTAGCTGCGGCACGCCGTGTGGCTGGCTGAAAGCGGATGTCGCAGCAAAGAATCGAGTGCAGAAGGAGAGCGGGGAGCCATCAAGGGTTGTGCACCTGCAGCCGCACTGCCGGGGCACACTGACTGCAAGCACACGGTGATGCCTGTCTCAAATGCGCGGCCGCCTGGGCGCCCCCCGATTGCAGGCGGGCATATCGCGCCTGAACGCTGAGCTGTACCGCGCCCTCGCGGAGGCGCGCCGCCAGGCAAACGGCGCGCTGTGAGTGCTGGGGGGCCGGGGCCCAGACATGCGACGACGACGGCGGCGGCAGCGAGACGGCAGGGGCAAGAGCTGTTGACTGCCACTTGCTGGCAGGTCGGGTGCGGCAATCTGGGCTGCCCGTGTGAATTTTGCCACCTGTGCGGCTGCTTGCTTTGCGTGCAAGACCTGGAGCATTATTACCCTGTGCATCTGCTTGGTACCCAGCGAAATCCCGTGCGAACCAAGCACAATCTAAGGAACAAAAGCCTGGAAAGCTAAACCAGTCGAAGCAAGTGTCCTTGACTCTATCTATGGAGGTTTGGCTGCGCATGGCCTCAGCGCGGCGTCGATCACGGGGTCTTGGTCACGAGCTGGAAACCTGGGGAGGGGTCAATAATTTCAGGGCGTGGATAGGGGGTTGGGGGCGCGAGGCTGTTGGTGCTGCGGGGTGGGTCTGGCTGCTGCGGCCCGCATCGCAGCCTGGCTGCCCCTTCAGTCATGAAGCAGGGCACTTGTGGGGTGGAGATGGCGCGTTGAATCTGATGATCAAGTCATATCATCACCAGCAGTTGCCTGCAAGCCACACGTGTTAGGACAGGCGAGCAGCCAACAAGCGCCTCCGTCACAAGCTGGGCCGCGGCCGCAGGTGCACGCGCACCATGCCACTGCTTCACATCATCTGAAATCAGCTTGGTCACCAATTGATGCTGCTTAATCTTGCTGCGGCCGTCAAAGTCGCTGGCCGTCACCTCGATCGCGTACATCGTGCCGCAGCCGCCTGCGCGCACAACACGGGGCGGCCGCTCATGCGGGTGGGCATTAGAGGGGGCTTGGAGACCGCCGAGGTGCATGCGAGCTGGGGCCGGCATGCGTTGCAAGTCTATCGAAAGCTGAAGAGCATGACATGCCCATCTGCCGCGCCGCCGGCATGCGAGCCATGCGCTGCATTGGGCAGCCAACCAATGCTTACCGCTTGTGTCCTCCACACGCACGCTCGTCGCGCCCGTGAGGCCGCCCGCAATCTTCTCAGCAATGGCACGCTCCGTGTCTGTGTTTCCAAGGACCTCTGGCGCTGCCGCTGGTCTGGACGTCGTGAGGGGCCTGCCGCTGCTGCTGCTGCTTGCCGCACCGCCAAACACGACACGGGACGCGCCACGAAGCAGGCCGCCGCCAGCTCCGAAGGCCGTGCGTAGCATCACAGCCTATAGACTTGGCCGTAGCGTGCAATTGAAATGGGAGTCTGTCTAGAAAGCCGCACGCTTGGGGTAGTACGTCAGTGTCACCACGTCAAGACTGATGAGAGTGTTCAATACGGTGCAAGCTACAGCAGTTTACTTAGAGAACTATACGATAGCAGATCAAGTGTTGCACAAACGACTGAACAGCATCAAAAGCTGAAAGAACTCCTGATCTGTAGATCATAGCATAGGCGTCCAGCTTCACTTACACACCGCCCATTGATGGCGAACGACGACACAGACTTTGGGATAGGCGAGCAGCCAGGTGAGCTGCTGCTTGGTCATGCACCTTGTCCCGCATGGTGCGCTCCGCTGCTGCACAACGGCCGCCGCTCGCATGGGGCCCAACTCGCGCCGTGCCCCACCGCGCCGGCGCAGTGGACGAACACCCTGGCGGCGGGGACGGCGAGCCTGGTGAGCCCTTGATCATGGCGCATCGCATGCGGCGCAGATTCAGGCCGCCAGCAAGGCCTGCCGTTACAACGATCCGCAAGCAACGACCCGCAACGTCGCGTCGCCTACGTCAAGCGCTTGGCTCCTCATATTGCAGCAAGTGAAATCAACAGTGACTCAAGCAGTTGCTGGCTCCCAACGACGCGATCCTGATGCTGCTCGCCGCCGCCACGCCACTACGCAGAGCTGGACTATGGAGAGGGCGAAGACCGCGAAGCGGCAGCGGGCGGCGACCGGCGCCCCAGCGGCGGCAGCGGCGGTGGCGGCGACGGCAGCGGCGAGCTAATCGCGGACGAGGGGCCCGGCGCGGGTGGCGGCGGCGGAGGCGAGGTGGGCGACGGCGCCGGCGGGGACGAGGAGGTGTTGCCGCTAGCGGACGAGGGGGGCGCAGACGCAGACTTGGCAGGCGGCAACGAAGGCGGCGGCGCGGCGGCGGCGGCCGACTCGGGCGGCGGCGGGGATGCGGAACCGCAGGCGGCCGCAGACTGCGGCGGCCACGACGGCGGCGGCAGCGGCGGCGGCGGGGCCGGCGGCGGCGATCAGATCAAGCGGGAGGACTCTGCAGAGGACAACCTGCTGAGCGGCCTGATGGATGCGGAGGACGAGCCATTGCCATCCAGGGACCCACCACCACAGCAGCAGCAGCAGCAGCAACAGCAGCAGCAGCAGCGGCCCGCCGACGCCCCTGCCCAGCAGACCTCGCCGCTGCAGCCCAAGCCCCGGCCGCCCCCCGGCT